TTGAAAAGCTCGCGTTTTGTTTGAATGCGGCCTTGGATGATCGGTTTTGGTAGGCTTTACTGAATCCCGTATTCCAAAACTACTACGTGAATTTTATTCAGAAGAGGTGAGTGGTGCAGTATATGGAACCCAGCAATCGGGCGCCGGTGACACTCAGGTTATACTTGACCCAGCGAAATATAATCCATGTGAAGAATTACCAATGCGACAAGGTACCATATTATCTTTTTGTATATATTTCGGGTTATCAGTGAACTGAATCGCGTAATACTGGCTGCGTAGTCATGAACGCTTTACTGAATGATTTATAGGTTTGTTTATTTAGAATTACTTGTTACATTGCTTACTAAGATAGATAATTACCTAGCTAGCACGGATATTTTTGAGTTTAAGTAAGAACTAAACTTTTGTCCTTCTAGGAAGTTGTTTTTTGATTCATTGTTTAATAATAATACCTAAATGTTTTCAGTTTGGGATAATGTGTAATTTTCATGACATTTATATCTGAAGATGGGTAATTTCTCCAGATATAGTCGAGAAATGTTAATAATTTCTGATTATTCTACTGACAAGCTTGCGTTAACATTTATCCGAATAATTAGTTATGAACTTTTACTAATTAATGTACCTGCAGTGAAGGGAAAATTAAGTGAATTCTTTCCACTTCTTAATCCTTTTAATCTGAGTTAGTCTACGAAAGGTAGGTCCCAACCTACTACAATGAAAAAGGGCACGAAGACTTTTCTACCAGAAAAATTTCAACAATAGATCCACGAACTCGAAGCTTTTACTGCGATTTTGCAAATTTATTTGTAAAAACGTACCCTTTAATCTCACTTTGGCCGGCTGGCTGGCTAGTAGCAATTGTGGGCCCGTAGAAAAATACTTGTAGAAACACCAGGAGTGGAGATGTACCTACCGGGGCTGTGTAATTAATAACCTTAGGGACAGTTCCGATTGTTTTCAAATTGATGTCGTCGGAAAGATCTCGGAAACGCGAATAACTCCTGCGTGATGGAATTTTGTAATTTTTTTCCTAGGAGCAAAATTATTTACCTTCCTGGCTCCATTTGGGGTGAATTCTCACCACAGCTTGAACTTTTTTTGATATAGCTTGATATTGTTCTTTGTAGTGTAAGGCACTTATTCGATTCAAAAATAGCCGAAAACCGTTTAAGGAATTTAAGATTTAATTCAAAATTTTGCAGTGATGCACTGTGTAACGAGTGGTTTGATTTCGCGCCAAATTTCATTAAAAAATTTCGAAATTTCTTGTCATGATAGTCAAGTTCACCCTGTATATTTCATTATTTGTTCCGGTTAGAAATTTTGTGTTTGGGCATTTCGGTTCGCTCAAGACTATGGTCCGATAGATTTAATTTCGCTCAGATTTAATTTCGTCGTGGGAAGAGTGCAAAGCTGATTGACGTCATCATGAGTAATGCGAGTTGTTTGTCGTTCGTTTTGGCGCCGTCTAGGCCGAGAATAGGAGCGGATGTAACACCGAGCCGTCAAGAGATAAGGATTTTTCACGTCATCAGCAGAAAACCGTGAGATCAATTGAGTCAGCAGTTCTTTGAGGGTGACGACGAAGTTAGAGTGGGTTAAGTCTTCTTTATCTAAACCAATGGGAGAATTTCTAGCGGGAGCCATTTTTGTTTTATGGTAAATTGGGTGTGGTTTTTTCATTTCAATTCTGAAGAAGGGGAGCGTTTTAAAGAGACTCGCGGTTAGTACGTCGAGGGGTCAACACGTACTTGGAGTGATCGCGTTTTAGAAGGGACTCGCAGTTAGTACGTCAAGTGGTCGACACGTACTTTGAGTGATCGCGTTTTAGAAAAGACTCGCAGTTAGTACGTCAAGCGGTCAACACGTACCTTGAGCGATCGTTTTGGTACACTTGGCGGTTTGAGCCACCGGCTTATTTCGGTTGCTCGCAGTTGCGTGCTTTTTGCACCCGTTCCGAAGTGTTATTTTCTTTTCGTGTTGATTTTTTTTTTGGCGAAGAAGACCCAGGTTCCAATCAGGTGATATTTGGGCGAACCCTTGAACTTCACCCCAGTTTATTTTGGATGCAGTGAATCGCGTTAGGATACGTTGTGATTTCTCGAGGATATATAAATCAAAGTGCTGCCCTAGTCCTCAAGGCGCAGAATTTCGGGATCCGCCCCAGGTGGAATTTCCTACTAGTGCCGTACGGTCATTTGTCGAAGGAGCGCTGCGTTTCGGAGAGCTGGTGAAATAATACTTTGAACCATAGCGGTTTACCGTCGGGTACTGATCATAAAAGTTTGTGTTCTGCCGTACCGCTAACTCAAAAAATCCGTCTTCCGCAGGCGATCAAAGCTAATAAACTAATAAAATAAAATTAAATACTGTGCTGCGTAGAAACTTTGGCAACTAGCCGTCTCCCACTCGCCATGCGAAGGATTTTCTGGACTAAGTTTCCGTTCAAACAATAAACTTTGCTTCGTTCCGAGGAAGGATAGGCACCGTGGATTTTTGTTTCCGTGTATTAAATTCAAGCCACCCCCTAGGAAGTCACAGAGACCTAAGTGTCAGGTTTCATCACATCCACCCTGTACCAGAGGAAAGAGCAGTTCACAAGATCGGCTGTACAAATGTTGTGAAGGTTAGTCTAATTAAATTTGTAATATTCTGTAAAATTCCACTTTTTGGTAATTAAGCTACAATAAAAAAATTTTTGATTTGATTGTTTATTAAAGTCCAATGAACGATTACCAAAGAGTAGGATAAATTTTTGTGTTTATTTAAATAAGTCCCAGCCCACGCTGGATTAAAAAACCGATTACCTGTTGTTGCAATTTTCAAACTGTAGAGGATGGCCACCCCTTGAGTAAATTAGTTTCACCTGATAGGATTTTTTATTTAGTTTAGCTGACATTGTTAAGCTAGTGTTTTTACAAGGAGGAGAGAGGAACTGCTAGATCCCTGTAAATTGTTTGTATCGCTAATTTCATTTCAATATATTATCTATTTGGTTTCAATGTGCCTGTCTTTAACGAAGAACGAGGGGAAGGAAAGGGAGGAGTAGGAGTTAAGGCAGAAGACTGGTAGGCGGCAGTTTAAGGTTTGTTACGCAGTTAAAAAAGAGTTAAAAGCCCACCGATTTGAGTTAGCCGGAGCATTTATTTTTATCGATTGAGCAGCCTAAGAAGAAGACGGTTTGCCTTGCCGGGCGGAACCGATGGTAATCTTTAAATCCAGAGGAACACCCGTAGCAACTGAAGGGGTCAGAACTCACCCCACGTGGTATTAAGGTGCGATGTGTACTACCGGATACGGTTTGGTCAAGTTTTCAAATATCTTTTTCTATAATTTCTTTCTGCAGGTAACCAAATGTTATTTAGCATAATTATGGTTGAAAAAGTCAGGAATTTGTGAATGCTAATTTTGGGGTTCCACATATTTGCAGACTTGTGCCAATATTATATTTACGCTAATGTGATTTTATTACAGACTGAATGAAGTCATCCAAAAGACGATTACCTATTGGAAATTTTAATTGATACCTAGTATTTATAAAAGTTCTTATGATACTATTAACTATCAAATGGGATAATTAGTATCATTAGGCTTCTAAAAATGTGGGGGGAATAATTTCTTGAAGGGGAATAAATACAAGTACGCCATGGAAAGTGTATATAAAACTACTGATTCTTTAGTAACAGATTTTTTGAAGTCGTGTTTTATTAAACTGCCGATGACCTATACTGTATCCAATATTACCAACTAACAATAATCTGTGAGAATTCAGCCCACGCAGTATCAGGAATGTTGAAAATCACCCGGGCCCCGAGGCCAAGAAAGTTAACCACCTTTTTCAAGGCGCGCGTTTTCGAAGAGTACTCGACTTTGGGCGCCCAAAAGTTTCATACAGTTCGAATCGCGGTATCGCTTTCTCTTTTTATCCACCATATTTTTAACTGCCGCTAGAATGAGCCATAGATCCCGCAAATCGGAAATCTGTAAAACCACAAAAAGGTACCTCAGGTCCTTCTTATTCCTCCCCAATGTGAAAAAAAGTACGTACACCTCCTGAGAATGAAGGACAAGATATTTCTGAAGGTTCGGTGCACCTAATCGAACGCGAGAAAATGAAAGGATACCCAGTGGCGTACCGACAGGGGGGCGCTCTGAAAGGGGCGGCAAAAATAATAATCATATTGATAAAATGCCCAACTTTGACTATGCGTACCAACCATTTAATGAGACGAAATGTGTATAAGAAAGAATCTTGGGAGACGAGTTGCAAGGTAAGTTACCTTATATAAGTTGCAGTTTCGCACAGTGCGTACCCGATTCCAGCAACTTCAAGACTTAGACGATAAATACTCATTCGCTACTCCTGCGAGTCTTCTAGACGAAAATTATCATTGTGATCTGTCCACAGAAAGTGATGACATCGACGGGAAGGAATTCGAAGTTGAAAGGAGGAGGCTGCAAAACTTTGTGGTTACTGTGCAACATCAAAATATTGTTTCGAACTTCCCTTTGAAGCTTTTAGAATTTATTCAAACGTAAAATTTTGATTTGTCTGTTCCAAACATAACAGTCATGCTGCGAATTTTTTTAACAATATGCATCAGTGTTTCTGGATGCGAAAGAAGCTTTTCAAAGCTCAAATTGATCAAAAACCACCTGCGATCTACTATGAGCACTTTGAGGTTCAGGAACTTAGCTATATTGTCAATCGAGATTGATGGATAGCTGCCATAGGGGGTGTGTTATTGCACATTTTTTGCAGTAGATTGTTTAACCACAGATTTTATTTCACTTCAGTCCTTTCATATCACTTACTAGGTAGTACGCCCCTGGCGCTGCTACGTACCGCAATTTTAAAGCTAAAAATAACTAAAAGAAGAAAAACCTCTCCCCGTATTCCCACCGTTGGCCCGTGACGGAACATATCCATTCTGCCTTTTGCGCTGCGCGTGATAAGTTCGTTACCGCTTTGTGTACGTCGCTCGTAACGTAAGTTCTCTAATCTATTTACTTTTAGTTTTGTTTTTTAGAAATGGAAGAGAGAAGCTTTAGCTCGTCAGATAATGACGAGGCGTTATCCGTTTTAGATCGTCTGAAACGTTTGGAAAGACGGGAGAGAAAATGGCGTAGAAAACGTTCTAAGCGTAAACATCGCCGCAATTCTCGATCTCCGTCGACTCCGGACGAGATCCGATTTCGTCGTTCTCGGTCGAGGTCTCGCCACTCACATACTCTGCAGGACCGGACTCGCAGAAGTTCGGCCTCAGATAATGAAAGTTTTCTTCACTCTGAGATTGATCTGCACGTTGATCAGACCCCAGGAGGTTTAACAACGGAGGAGAATAAAGAGAACTCACCGACTTTGGTTATTGATAATGACGTCGTTTTGGATGAGGATGTCTTAAATATTATTGGCGAAGATCCCGAAAAAGTTAAAAGTAATACTATTACTTTAAATACAGCTATTTGTTCCAGATGGAACAATTTTTTGCTCAATGGGGTACCAGAAAACGATTTAGCTTCTATAAAAAGGAAGTATAATTTAAACAGTAATCTGGAGTTAACCCTTCCGACAATCAACCAAGAATTGTCGCAAGTGACTAATTTAACAGTCCGGAAAAAAGACAGCTGCTATACTGATATTCAGTTACAGATAGCTCAGGGTCTTAATGCTTTAGGGTTGAGCATTTCAAATATTTTAAATGATCCAGACGGTTTATCGAAAGAGGTAAAAGAAAGTTTACTTTTACCTTTGTGGGATGCAGGCAAAATTTTTACTGACCTCTTCTATACTTTAACCAAAACAAGGCGCAACTTACTGCTTCCGATCCTCAACAAATATATGCGAGATTTAGCAGAAGGAACCACTGCCGATAGATCCTTATTTGGGTCAAATTTCGGAGAGTTGGTTAAAACAGCAAAAGTGCTCGAAAGAACGAGCAAAGATCTGCTACCTCATTCTTCGAACAAACCAAGGTTTAAAAGTCTTGTACCCAAGGGACGTGAGGGACGACAGAGGGGTCAGTTTACAAAATTCACTCCCTCGACGGAGATGGGAAACAGACATCGCCCGGCCCGATACAGAAGGGAATCGAGGTCAGTCCAAGGGCGCCCTTACAAAAATTTTCGGAATTAATTAACTCTAATGAAAACCAGGTACGTTTTGCTGGTAGATTAATTATGTTTTCTACAAACTGGGAACGAATCACTTCGAATCCGATAGTTTTGTCTTGGATATCAGGTTATCGTATCCCATTTGTTTACCCGCCAAGACAGGAACTGCCACCTTGTGTCCGTTCGTTCTCTTCGGAGCAGCACGCTCACCTGTTACAATCGGTCAACGATTTGTTAAAGTTGGGAGCTATTTGTGCTTGTACTCCACACAAAGATCAATACTTATCGGGTTTTTTTCTAGCAGATAATCCAAATGGGAAAAAACGATTCATCTTAAACCTAAAGCAACTTAATTTGTCGGTTAGACATTTTCACTTTAAAATGGAAGACTTTAGAACTGCTTCAAAACTTCTGAATAAGGGTTACTTTATGACAACCTTAGATCTTAAAGATGCATATTTTTTGATTCCAATACACATTGAAGATAGAAAGTATCTAAGATTTAACTTCAATGGAAACTTATATGAGTTCACGTGCATCCCCTTTGGTTTATCTTCAGCTCCCTTCACATTTACTAAATTATTGAAACCTATTACTTCTTGTCTACGAAAAAAGGGAATTCCCTGTGTTAACTACTTAGATGACTTTTTAATTTTAGGGAGATCTCATTCAGTTTGTTTAAATAATACCAGATTCGCACTACAGCTACTGGAATCCTTAGGCTTTGTTGTTAACTACAACAAAAGTTCTCTCACCCCGTCTCAAAGAAAACAATTCCTGGGATTTATCTTTGATTCTGTAAATCTAACTTTGGAATTGCCCTTAGAAAGGAAAATTAGAATTACTGATTCTATACAATTTTTTCTTCACACTAAAACTTTTTCAATTAGAAAATTGGCTGCTTTTATTGGAGTTCTAGTGTCTGCCTGCCCAGCAGTACAGTACGGCTGGGTTTATACGAAGCTTTTGGAACGGCAAAAATTTTTGGCCTTGAAGTCTAGTAATTCGAATTACGATTCCTCCATGTCTCTAAATGCTGGCATCCTACCTGATTTATGGTGGTGGGATCAACATATTATGTCATCACAACACAGTATCAGTTGCGATCCTTTTTTGAAGGAGATCTTTACGGATGCTTCGCTTTCTGGCTGGGGAGCTTGGTGCGATAACGTAAAGACTCATGGGTTTTGGAGTACTGTTGAGAGAAAGCAACACATAAATTTTTTAGAACTGAAAGCCATTTTTTATGGTCTGAAATCTTTTGCTAAGAATAGTTCAAAATGTAAAATCCTAATTCGTACTGACAATACCACTGCTCTGTCGTATGTCAACAGGATGGGTGGTATTCAATACCCTCTTTTGAACGGGATTACTCGACAAATCTGGTCATGGTGCGAGAAGAACGAAATTTTTATTTTTGCTTCGTATATAAATTCTAAAGATAATTGGAGAGCGGACAAAGAATCTCGCTGTCGGTCTACAGAGACAGAATGGTCGCTAGCTCAATCCGCTTTTACGCAAATTGTGTCGAATTTTGGAGCACCAGAGATAGACCGTTTTGCATCAAAATTGAATCATAAGTGTTGTAATTATGTCTCTTGGCTCCCGGACCCGAATTCGATAGCAGTGGATGCATTTACTCTTTGCTGGAGCAACTTTTTTTTCTATGCCTTCCCGCCTTTTTCACTTATTCTTAAAGTTTTACAAAAAATTGTCTCCGACAAAGCTGTGGGAATTATAGTTGTTCCAAAGTGGCCGTCCCAATCTTGGTACCCATTACTATTAGAATTATGTGATGGCCATCCTATGACTTTAGGTCCAAGTATGAATTTACTGACTTCTCCTTTTAGGGAAACCCGACCTCTTCCGAGGAACCTTACCCTGGTAGCAGTGCGTTTATCAGGGAAGCGTTAAAGAGACGAGGAGTACCGGATTGCGCTTTGGAGGTAATGATTCATTCGATATCCCGATCAACGGAAGCGCAATATAACACTACTTACAAGATGTGGTGAAAGTTTTGTCAACTCACAGGAAGTTCCTTGTTCTCTTCGGGACCGAAAGAAGTAATTAAATTCCTACACACTATTTTAACAAGAAAATCCTGCGGTTACGGATCATTTAATAGCCACAGATCTGCACTTTCTCTTATTCTACCAGGAAATGTTGGAGAGGATATTCTACTGAAGCGTTACCTTAGAGGCATAGCAAATACTAGACCACCGAAGCCAAAGTACACCAACACATGAAACCCACATCCAGTTTTGAATTTTCTCTCGAATTGGTTCCCAAACGAGAATCTCACTTTGAAACAATTATCCTTAAAATTATTAATGTTACTTTTATTAACTACTGGACAAAGGTTAAATGCAATTGCTCTAATCAGAATTGAGAACATTCGGGAATCCCCATCAGGATTCCAAATTTTTATTTCTGATAAAGTGAAAACTACAAGGGTAGGGAAACCTCAACCCTACCTTCAAGCCCTCTACTTTAAGGATTTACCAGCGTTATGTGTAGGTAGTACGTTGAAAATTTTTCTTCAGCGTACTGCCCCCCTTAGAAAAAACAAATCCTTCTTATTCTTATCTATTAGAAGACCACATGGGATAGCTTCAAAGCAAACTTTGAGTAGGTGGGTGAAAATGGTCCTACAAGATTCGGGAATTCCAACGGACCTATTTAAGCCTCATTCTACACGCCACGCGGCTACTTCGGTCGCCTTTAGGCAAGGAGTCTCGGTGGACGGCATTTTTCAATCGGCTGGTTGGGGAGAAGAATCTTCCTGTTTCGCACGATTCTATAACCGACCGATTATAAATGAAACGGAGTTTGCAAGAGCAGTGTTAAATTCTAATAACCTGTAAAATGTATTATTTTGTTATTAAATGCAACTTCAATGAATGCTTTAAACATCTACCTAGTAAGTGATATAAAAGGACTGAAGTGAAATAAAATTATACAATCAAACGAACTTACCTTAGTGAAGTTCGATCGTAATTTTATGAATCTTCAGTCCGAGATATCACTTCCCACCCACCCATGTGAACCTGTTCGGTTCCCCTTCGAAGTTGCAAGGGCTTACTTTAAAGAAATGAATATGTTCCGTCACGGGCCAACGGTGGGAATACGGGGAGAGGTTTTTCTTCTTTTAGTTATTTTTAGCTTTAAAATTGCGGTACGTAGCAGCGCCAGGGGCGTACTACCTAGTAAGTGATATCTCGGACTGAAGATTCATAAAATTACGATCGAACTTCACTAAGGTAAGTTCGTTTGATCGTATAATAAAAGGGTATTTCCGCGAATCGAATCGACATAGGTCGAAATAGGTGCATGAAGCACAAGAGAAACTGGAAGGTATGTACGAGACGTATTTGTCTTGAACTCAAAGCTTCAAATCCGAATTTAATGGGATAATTTTTAAACCCAAGCAAGAAACGTAAAAAATTCGTATCACCTATTATTATCGTTGCAACAATTTATTCGATTTTTCGCTCTCGCTGTAAAAAACTGTGCTTTTCAAAACAAAATTGAATTGCTTTTCGTCGAAATGTATAAATATTTCCTTGGTACAGCTAAATAACTAGGAGCAATTTCTAAAAAATTTAAAGGAACCGCCCATGATGGTGCTCATTAGAAATAAACCAGTAAGATGTACCTAGGGGACCGATTAACGGAGAAGGTCATTCAGTTTTCCATCGTCTTTTTTTATTCCAATTATATTATAACATGGGGCATTGCAAAAAAACGTATTATTAAAGGTATATTGGTAGAGCAACCTTTGAGAGCTGCTTAAGCATGCGAGAAGAAGTGTTAGAGAAACAGAGCCCCTGGAAACATGCAAAACTTATTTATTGTTATTGTTAACTTGAGGGGGGAATGATAGCAAGATAGTAATTCTTCAAAAACTACTATAATAGAAAATAATGCGTGTTTGTATTAAAATTAATTGTGTACCTTTCTTAAACAAACGATGGAAAATTGTTGCCGTGGAATTTCCCTGCTGTGTAGTTGACGGAAATAACGTTTGCATTCTATTTAACCTCTTAACCCACCAACATCAAAAAAGTGTTTTATTTGGGTAGACAATGGTGTGCAATAATGAAGTTACGTATATTAATTACGTGCAAAGGAATTTATATTGAACAAAGTGTATAGCATTTAAGGTAGTTTTCTGGAAGGAACTATTCGCGCATGGTAATAACTCCAGCTCCAGTAAAAATTGCAATAACATCCAGTGGAGAACGAGAAAGCTTATTATTAAACTAAACATGCATAGGCGGTTCGTAGGAGTTAGTGAGGATTATTATTATGGCGCCCTTGGCTGATATGTCAACCCCGTTTGCTTTTGCTAATTAACGTAATTCACCTTAACTTACATTCCCGCTATGTCTTTAACGTCCTATTCCCTTACGAATCACGTTTTGTGTACAATAAATAGTTGCCCTTTACTGATCAATACAAATTGAAATTTCGTGCACTGTACCAACCTACCACTAAAGTGCAATTATCTAATTAAATAATGTCAATGGTGTGTGTAGGGTTAAGATGCAATTATTTCTAATAAATAATGTAAATTAGACGATTGACACGAAAAAATGCGTCAATTAAGCCTTAACATTTGAGGAATCATGCAAATGAGATTTATAAAGCACGCAATTGTTCGATTAACTTCACGAAAACTTGCACTTTTAAAATGGCCTTTGTTAAAAAAACATATGAAACATTTCTAATAATAAAAACCACCTTTCGTTGTATTATTTCGTTGTTTTCGCATGTACGGTCCCTTTGTGAAACGTAGGCTTCCTTTTTATATTCCCAAATTGAATAATGAATTGAAAGAAGGTTGGAGACATCGTGGTAATAGACGACCTACTTTTCATGGTACAGAATTCGACGAAATTCGCAGGAATTTCGTGCAATAAAGCGAGCAAAAGGTTTTAATTGCGCTTGTAGCGTGTAACCACGAAAAACTACAGGGTGGGTAAAGTCGGTCGGTAAAAGCACAGAGGATTGTGGTTAGGTCGCAGTAGGGACTTTTTCTAAGCACGCACAATGCAATGTTAAAGAGTGACATTTTATAACAAAGGCTTGCTTATTTTTCTACCTAGGAAACTCTCTTTAATATTGCACAAGGTATGTACTACGGAATGCTAGAAAAGTATTGATTTCCGCGAAACAAGCGTGTAAAAATGTCTGAGGCAATTTGGAATGCACAGCGCGGTGGTTGTACGGAATACCACATAATCATTGTGGCACTAAACGTCGATTTAACTTACTGCTGAAACAAAACCCGATGTTGAATATTCTGTCGTGTAAAACTAAGACAAAAGTATTCGGAAATTCACCGGTTGAATTCAAGCCCAATTTGAAACGTTTTCTTCACTTAGATAATTTAAATAAAAGAATCGTTGCCATATCAAATCAGATTTGACCAATTGTATTCGAACAGCAAATTTCAGAATTGCGAACTAAAGTATCCCCTTCATCAAGTTCATAAAGAACTTCAGCAAGCGAAATGGACAGCAACTCTTCAGACTCGATTTATTCGAGGCGCCACTTCAGCAATCCAGTGTAATGCAGATAGCAAATTAGGCATTGTTTAAACAATCGTAGTGTAACTTGATTTATAAATTCGGGTTCGATTTATATCAATATTTATTAAACAAAACTAAAGCACTATAAAAACTGTACAATTTATATCGACTATTTATATCACACACTTCGCAATTTATACTTCCGCGCTCGATGTTTCATCCGTACTCGATCTCGTCGGTAGTAAAACTAAACTGCGATGTTCGGCCCGCAACCATTTATACACGCAAGCAATGTAAGTCCAGAACACTCGAGTAATTACCGGATAAGTCTCGAATATACCTATACAAATCCCACTATCGCGCGTGTAGAAAATTCCAGAGCGCCAAAGGCGACGTCATGTCTGGAGCGTTTCCGTTACACTGCCCCCTTCTTAATTCTGGACGTTTCGTTCAGAAACTGCGTTAGTATTACTTTTTAATGCCTCGTGTCGGAATCTGCAGTCAGAGCCTGCTCGACAAACACCTTTCTTGAAAAAGTAACAGTCCACAGTTTTGCGGAGGGTCGTCCCCTGTGGGTTGAAGCAGCATACTGTAATTCGAACGCTAGTGTTTCTAAAAATCACTTCGATCATGGTTCGCACTATCTTCCAGTCCAACCCATCTAAACCACATCCAATTTTCGGGATCGCCAAGCTATTTATGTCATAGTATGCCATGAGTTTCTTTAAGCTTTTTAAAGCAGACCAGAGGTTTTCATAGGTGGGTTTGCCTTCTGACGTTTTCTTTGAAACCAAGTAGAACAAAGAGCGTTGGCTATCTTCCAAGCGCAGTACTTTACCCACTCGTGGTCTTTGCTTTATCAACTCGTCTATTCTTCCAAATCTTTTCCGGAATACGGAAGCTATACCTCTACCCATGCGAAGGTCTTCGGCGACACAATGGGCGATGGAAACGTTAACCGGAAGCTCAAAAATATTTTGACAAATTTCCTGAGTAACGCCAAATCGAGCTTTCTTCCGCTGGGCGTAATTTGACATAAAATCGTTAAAGTTTGGCTCGATCCCAAAGCTGCGTTCCTCTTCTCGAATACCTCTAACTTCTTCGTTGTTGTTGGATCCGGCATATCGTGCGCGAGTCGATTAATGTGGACAACTTTCGGTTTCCGGTGGTTCATTGTGATACGATATATCACGCCATTTATTTTCTTGATCACCTCATACGGACCTTCCCATTGTCTTTACTCTTTGTAGCTTGGGAGAAAGACCTCTTCGTCTCTGTGGAATGTGCAGCCATACCAGATCTCCTGCTTCAAAAGTTTCATTGGCCGAGCGGAGGTTGTATTGATTTTTCATGCGATCACTGGCAATCTGAATATGACTTCTAGCCAAGTCGTGAACGTCGTTCATCTTCGCCTTTAGTAATTGGTCAACATAATTTTCACCTGCGACA